GCTATTTTTTGGTTGCAGTCATCATTGTTGTTTGGCGGGCCCAGGCTGGATTCGAACCCACCACCTTGGATGTACATGGCTGGGGCCTTAGCCACTTGAGCCACAGGCACTGGACCTGGGGTCTTTCTCTTGCTGAGGCTAGTCTTGAACCTGTGAGTTCAGACAATCCTGCCTTGGCCTCCCAAAGTGCTAAGATTATAGGCATGAGCCACCATACCCAGCCTTGGGGGCATCTCTTTCATATTCTCACTTCAGGTGAGGACAGGGCTGTCTGGAGATGCTGAGACCTGTCTAAGATCATACAGGAAGGGAGGAGCTTAGATGGTGCTAGAGTCCAGTCTCTTGATGACCCAACCTGTGTTCCTGCCACTGAATCATCCAGCAGTCCCCACGGGCAGCTGAGAACCGAGTACCCAGGCCTTGAGGAACCTGTCCCCTTGAGTGAGGCACAGCCCAGCCATGAAGGGGCCTTAGGACAGCTTCCCATACCTGCACCAGGTCCATGCCCACGAACCACAGGAAGTTCCGGTGGCGTGCCAGCTGCCGGAGGTATTGGCCCAAGGTGATGCTGCCCACTTCCTCACTGCCCACAGGCAGCTCCTCTCCACACAGGCTATGGGGCAGAAGTGAGTTGGAAACTGCCTGGGTTTGGACCACAGTCATCCCTACCCCAGGTCAGCCACCCAGCAGTCACGGGACCCAGGATGGAAATCAGACTCAGAAGAGTGCGGGGCTGGCCACTCACCCACCATCCACAGCCAATGCTGAGCACCCTGGCTCCCTTCTGGCCACCTGAAGCCGCCGCCTCAGCAGTTGGGTGGCCCCCAGAAAGCCTAGACCAGAGCCAGCAGCCACTGTCACACAGAAGGCGCGGAAGGAGGAGAAATCCTCTTTGTTCCAAAAGGCGTAGGAGGCAAAGACAGATAGTGAGCCAGCCGCACTGAAGAGGGAGCAGCAGAAGTTGAGATGGGTGCGATCATGGGCTGAGAGGGCCAGGTCAGCCAGCAAGGCATGGTGGTGCAAGTCCACAAGCGTCAGGAAGCCATCATATAGGCACAGGCACAGCAAGAACTGCAGGCCAGCTGGGGCCCAGGGCACCCAGAATGCCAGGAACGACAGCGCCAGCAACGGCCCGTGCCAACTCAGCGCCCGCACCCGGGCCAGCACCACGGCCCTCGAGGAGAGCCCAGCACCCGACCTGCCAGGGAAAGGAGGGCTGTTGACAGATGCCCTTTCAACTTGGGTGGGCCCCAGCTCCCCCTGCCCAGGCCCTAGAGTGGGGATGGAGGCCTAGAGTGTGCCCAAATTCCCCAGCCTTCAATTTAGGAAGCACAAGCAGCCCCTGGAGAGGAGGCTGCTTGGAGCCCACCTACCCCATCTCTCTTCTGCCTCAGTCTCTTCCCTTATTAGACTGTCAGGGCTGATGACCAAAATATGGTAGGATACCCACTTCTCAGGCTTGGGGGCAAGGGTAGCTCAAGCAAGGGTGGGTGGGGTAAAGGAATCTTCTGGAAGCAGCAGAGGGTGTGTGCAGTACAGCTAAGCCAAGCTGGGGTAAATCTCTTTCCCTGGCAAACAAGAGCAGTGGGATGGGACTGAACCATTTATGGGCCATCCACAAGACACAAACCGGGGCTGGGAGCTGAGGAACTGGCGGTCACTGAGCCAGCCGAAGAGGGGGTCATTGAGGCTATTCCAGAGGAGAAACACCGTCTGTAGGCAGAAGAGAGATGGGGTAGGTGGGCTCCAAGCAGCCTCCTCTCCAGGGCTCCCCCTAACCCAGCCTGCTCACTACCTCCCACAGATAGCCACAGCCTTCCTGCCTGCAGACTTTTGCTCATGTCAGTTCTACTGTTAAAACCCACTCTTCTAGCCACTGCCCCCATCAAACTCCCACCCATCTAGGGCCCAGCTGGCACAGGTATCCAGCTGATTAATATATGTGACTATATTATATTATACATATAAGTATACAGAACAGTGGCCAGGAGAGTTGGTCTAGTTCCCATGGAGATGTTATCAAGGCCTCCACCAGCTTTTCTTGCCGAGTCTTGGAAAACCTAGTGTGCCCCGTGCCCCTGACGAGGCAGGACCCAGCACCTGTGATCCACCTGGCAGACTGTGCATCCTCTAGTCTCCCACCACAGCTACCTGCCCAGTGTTGGCCCTACCTCTCCAACCCAGAAGGCTGTTTTGTTGATCTTATACACTGAGACAAAGGTGTCCACATAGTAGAGCAGGAACACATTGTGCAGGATCGAGGTGAAGAGGGCCAGGGAGCCATAGACCACAGCTGTGGGAAGGCCCAACAACCAGGCCTGGAGCCATCCCAGCCCCATGGCTGCCAGCCCCACCCTCAGCCTCAGCCCCAGGAGCACTGAGGACTCATGGCCACAGGCAGTCTTGCCATAGTTGTCCCTGGGGAAGAAGGAACCAGTTAGCAGGGATCAGATCAGCAGTTACCAGCTCTGCTCTTAACCCAAACCTTTGAGTCATTTAAAAACTCATTTCCACTGAGAGAGAGTTTGTATTTAAAACAAATCTGGGGAATTGGCAATGAAGTACAACTGAAACAATGCTAAGCTTGATGCCACTACTCTGGAAGTAATGTGAGGAAAGTGATAAAGCCTGTGGTAAGAGAAAGGAGACACCCAAGGGCTGAGCCAGGTCACGTGCTGGGGCTGGATGCTCAGTATTTTTTCCATCCATGCTTGCAACCTTAACAGTCTAAATGGGACAATGCTGGGCACTCACTGTACTTACAGTGAAAACCTCAGGCAAGCCACTGAATCTGACCTTCAATTTCCTTTTTTTTTTTTTTTTTGAGACAGAGCCTCAAGCTCTCCCCCTGGGTAGCGTGCCATGGCATTACAGCTCACAGCAACCTCCAACTCCTGGGCTCAAGCGAGTCTCCTGCCTCCGCCTCCCAAGCAGCTGGGACCACAGGCGCCCGCCACAACGCCCGGCTATTTTTTTGGTTGCAGCCGTCATTGTTGTTTGGCGGGCCCGGGCTGGGGATTCGAACCCGCCACCTTAGGTGTACGTGGCTGGCGCCCTAGCCGGTTGAGCTATAGGCGCCGAGCCATCAATTTCCTTTTCTATGCAAGGTAAGAGGGGATGGTTATGCCTACTTTGCAGAGGAACTTAAGGAGTGAATGAAGTAACTTGCAGAAAGTACTCAATAAACAGATGCTAGTAGTGTCATTAATATTTTTGCAAAATCCCTACAAAGTTTATGGCATGATTAGATTTTATAGAAGAGCAACCCAGCTGGGTGTGGTGGTTCACACCTGTAATCCTAGCACTCTGGGAGGCTGAGGTGGGTGGATTGCTTGAGCTCAGGAGTTTAAGACCAGTCTGAGCAAGAGAGAAACCCTATCCCTAAAACTAGCTGGGCATTGTGGCAGGCACCTGTAGTACTAGCTACTGGGAAGGCTGAGGCAAGAAGATCATCTGAGCCCAAGAATTTGAGGTTCTTGTGAACTATGATGCCACAGCACTCTATCCAGGGCAATAGAGTGAGACTCTGTCTCAAAAAAAAAAAAAAAAGAAGAGCAACCATAAACTCACGGATATTAAATAATTTGACCAATGTCACACAGCCAAAAAGTAACAGATTTCAATCCAGACCTGCCTGACTATAAAGGCTTTTCTGCCACTTGACCTCTCAAATCAGGTTCCTATGAACCATCAGGAAGAACAGGGAAACGCTTGTGTGATATTTGGTTGGTGATAAAAGTGATAAGATGTGATTGGCGTCCATAACTACTTGTGCACTTTGATTCCAGAAATTCCACCTCAAGAAACTAACCCAGGCTCGGCACCTATGGCTCAAGTGGCTAAGGTGCCAGCCACATACACCTAAGGTGGTGGGTTCATATCCAGCCCGGCCCGCCAAACAACAATGACAGCTGCAACCAAAAAAATAGCCAGGCGTTGTGGCGGGCGCCTGTGGTCCCAGCTACGTGGGAGGCAGAGGCAGGAGACTCGCTTGAGCCCAGGAGTTGGAGGTTGCTGTGAGCTGTGATGCCACAGCACTCTACTCAGGGGGACAGCTTGAGACACTGTCTCAAAAAAAAAGAGAAGAAGAAAGTTTGATTTTTATTATTCCGGCACTGGTCAAACTGTATTACGTGTATGAGTCGCCTGCAGACTTTGTTAAAATGTAGATTCTTTTTTTTTTTTT